CACGGGTGGTGCTAATGGCAACAGCACTCAACAGCTAACCAGAAAGTTGAGGGTTCAAGTCAACCAGAGGTGCCTTGTCAGAAACGTGTAGTGATGTATTTCTGAAAATCCACCCTGTGGATCACGTATATGAAATGACAAGAATAGCTCACTCAAGAAAAATGAACAGCTGTGTGTTAGACAGGGTTCTCTAGAGAGATAAAACCAACTTGCTGATACTTTAATATATTTATTTATAAAGATAATTAGATATATAACAAGAAGTGAACTGTTAAATCATATACAGATAAATACATAATACAAGAAATGAACGGTTAAATTATAAAGCACTACAAATGGCTCAGTGCAACTCACATCCGTGAGAGAAAGTTGAGAGACTAGCAGTCCTTCAAGTCTCTGTCTGATGCCAGATCTTCCTCTATTTGTAGAGAGAGCTAGGCTATGTCGGCACAGCAGCCAATCACAAGGCAGGTCACCAACTGCCAGCCAGGTCACCAACCGCCAATCCCCAGCTCCAGAGAAGTCTTAAAGGGACCTCAACTTACAGCGACACAGTCCACAGGCTAGGTGTCCCACAGGCAGTGTAGCCTCTAAATTGAGGCACAGGACAAGCAAGGCAGCTGCACACTGGTCCGATGATCACAGAGTGAGAGACAAGAAAGGCGAGGCTCACCAAGCCATTTATCTCTCTGCCCGTCAGTTGATCCCACGTGTGTGTATCGGCCAGGCTGGCACAATGAACTGTCTCAAGCTGCTTCCCAGAAGCACTTCTTTTTTAGCATCAACAGTTACTCTAAAGCAAAGAAGAGAATATAAGGGGCAAGGAGACTAGAAATGGAACTGTCAGAATGCAATTAAAGAGAATGTTGACACATTGTGGAAATTTTGTGAAAAAGGTACCTGTCATCGAATAATTTATATATAAGTGATCAAATGACAAACTAATTTGCTGTGTAAGCTTGCTTTGAAAACACAATAAAATTTCATTCAAAATAAAAAACAACAACAAAAGAGGGTCATTGGGGTCATTATACATAAAAGGATCATTAACAAACCAGTGGTTAAATTATCTGAATCCTACCACCGGCACCAGACACAGTGCCTTCCAGGGCCTGCTGGACAGGCTAAGTCTGGCCCCGGATATCCTTCCTCGGCCTTGGGCAAGCCCACTGTCGCCCCTCTCCTAGCCCACCCGCCACATGCACCCATTAAGAGTCCACTGCCATTGACTTGACCAGACTCACAGTGACCCTACAAGACAGAGTAGAGCTGCTCCCCGGGGTTTCCAAGGCTGCAAATCTTTTCAAGAGCCAACAGCCTCATCTTCTGCCCTCGGATCGGCCAGTGGTTTTGAACACTCACTGTTCACACACTCACTGCTTAATCCACTGGGACCACCAGTGGTCAGGCCCTGGTCCTGGAGTGGGAAACAAACCCAACCAGGTCCCCAAGCACTCCTGCCCTGGTGAGGCACCCACGGCACGCAGGGAGGGACAGGACGAATGCGGGGGTCACATGCAGGCCATGCCAGGGCCTTTATCCGGTGACCACGAGGGACTTGTGGGTGCCAGAATTTCCAGTCCTGCCTTAACAGGCAGAAGAGTCCGGCCGACGGGGAGGCCAGCAGGTTGCAGTGAGGAGCAGCAGAGGGGCCTGGGGAGAAAGGCCTGGCAGTCAACCTCCATGAACGCTCGGGAGTACATGGTTAGGGATACAGGTGAGGTGCCCCAAGTCAGGTCACCTGATGGAAGCTGATCCTGTTGTTGGTATTTAATCAGGAAACACAGAAACGGCACCCCTCAGTGTCCTCAGAGGGCCAGAGACATCTGTTCTAGACTCCATGTTGGGTGCTGATGGTCCCAATAGGTTGTGATCTCTGCAGAGGTGGGGGGGGGTCCTCATCAGGGTTGCTAAGCAGGTGCTGGAGACCCATCCAGCCCAGCCTCTCCATCATCGGTCTCGGGGTCTCAAGTGCAGCCCGAGGTGTTAGCTCTTATCATCACACACCACAGGGTTAGGGAAGGTTCTGGGGGTGTAGGGCAGGTTAGGGGGTGGGGCCATCTTTGGGCAGTTCTGAGTGCAGCTCAGAGGTTCTGGGGGGTACTGGGCTTGGAAGCTGGAGTATGGGGAAGTGATGGGTCTGGAGCTGCCTCTGCTCCCGGGTTGAGAGACTCCCTGGAAGGTTGTCCTGTAGCCCACAACTTTGTGACCTACCTGTCACACAGGTGGAGGTCTCCTTGGGTGACTCAGACCCTCCCCCACTTTCAGACAGTCTCCAGGGCCTGCCCACTGTCCAGCCAGGCAACTCAGTTAGCCTCCTGGGACCCCTCATTGCCATCCGAAGGTCGCTGGTCATCCTTCTGCCTGCCTGCCTCCAGGTCTGTGCGCCCACACCCACTTCTGCCCAGTCCAGTCCCACGCACGTTGTCGGGGGGGCTTGTCCTTAGGTGCCATCTCACTGGTGCCGATGTGCAATAGATCAAAACACCGCCCGGTCCTGTCTGAGCCCATTGTTGCAGCCACGGTGTCATCCACCCTGTACCGTGCCTTCCTCTTTCTTACTGCCCCTTGACTTTACCCGGCATGACGTCCTTCTCCAGCAACCACTCTCTCCTGACGTGGCCAGCGTCCATGCAAAGAAGGCTTGCCACCCTTGTCTCTAAGGAGCACTCTGGGTGAACGTCTTCCAAGACAGACTCGTTTGTTCTTTGGGCAGTCCGTGGTACGTTCAGGAGTCAGCCAACACCGTCGTTCGCACGCACGGGTTCTTCCACAGTCTTCATAGTCAATGTCTGCCTTTCACACGCATAGGAGGTGACAGACGATCCTTGGGTCAGGGGCACCTTGGTCTCCCAAGGAACACCCTTGCTTTTCAGCACGTTAAAGAGTCTTGTGCAGCAGGTTTACCCGATGCAATGTGTCCTTGGCTCTCTTGGTGGCTGCTTCCATGAGCACCGGCTGTGGATCCAAGCCAGAGGAGATCCTTGCCAACCTCAGTCTCTTCTCTGCCATTTGCGGTGCTGTTACCTGCTGGTCCCGTCGGGAGGAGTTTGGTCTCTTTGACAGTGAGGTGCCATCCCTACTGGAGGCTCCCTTCCGTGTATATCTTTAAGGCTGCACTCTTTGATCTCCATTACCAAGGGCTTCAAGTACCCCTCGCTTTCAGCAAGCAAGGTTGTGTCGTCTGCATATCGAAGGTTGTTAATAAGCCGTCCGTCCAATCCTGACGCCACGTGCTTCTTCGTCTAACCCAGCTTCTCTGATGACCTGCTCAGCAGACGGACTGAATACGTCTGGTGAGAGGATACAGCCCTGCTGCACACCTTTCCTGATCTTAGACCCTGCCGTGCTCCCTTGTTCGGTTCCCACACCGTCTCCTGATCCATGTGCTGGCTCCACGGGGCACAATGAAGTGTTCTGGGATTCCTGCTCTTCAGAAGGCTGTCCATCGTTTTTAGGGTCCACGCAGTCCTGCCCTGGGATGGCCAAGACAAGACAAGGGAACATCTTTCTGGTAGGCTCTGCTTTGAGCCAAGAGCCATCAGCAGTGATGTCCTTATTCCACAGCCTGCAGCTCTGGCAGCTCCCCTCAGCGTACTGCCGTGGCCCACAGCAACCTTCTTTCTGAACACAGGCCGCCTGGAACTGACCCCACCACAGGGTCTCGAAGCGGTGTGTTTGTGGGAGTCTCCCATGCAGGGGCTAGTGAGTCCCAGAGCTTCATCCACGGGTGGAACCACCAGGACTGCACAGAACACGTCCCCCCACCTCCCACCCTGACTCGGAGGGAAATCCCAGCAGAGCGCCAGCTTGCTGCGAACCTGGGCTTCTGCCTGCAGGAATGCGGTTGCGTGCCTGCTCCTGCCCCATCCGTCCCTGCTTGGGAGCTAGCGCAGCCCTGCTTGGGAGCTAGTACAGCCCGCAGGTGGGGCGCAGTGACTGGGGATGTCCCTCTCAAGGCTCCACCCAGCCCTGGCTCCGCAGGCCACCAGGGAGTGCACTGGCCCCTGCCTGCCGCTCCTGCTGCTCCTGCATGCCCAGGGCGGTCCCCATCTGCGCCACTGAGGGATGGGCTCGTGGGGTGCAGCAGAGCCGGGGAGCGCAGAGCTGGGGAGACTGACTGCATCTCCACAGGACCCTGACCACCAGGCACAGCTGCCTATGACACCGATGGGCACTGGGCACATAGCAGGGATAGTGTGCAAAGGCAGGAAAGCCTGAGGGCCCAGGGAGCTCAGAACTCAGGCAGTGGTCTCAGGAGTGGGCCTGCAAGGGGCTCAGAAGTGGGGCAGGGGCTCAGAACCTGGACAGCAGGTTCATCACCTGGGCAGCGGGCCAGGACCTGAGCTGTTGGCCTGGGGCTCAGAGGCGGCTCCCCTCCCAAGCCCTGCCCTGCGTGTGGGCAGTGTGCCCAGCCCTCTGGCCTAGATTGCTGCTCACCCCGTCGTCTACGCCATGGCGCTCTGTCTGCACTCAGTGGTCTTCTGTTTACCCCCTGACTCCCAGTCTATGCTGGTGATGTGTGGCGGAGGGGCTGCTGGGTCCCGCTGGGTGCTTGGACCGGACAGGTCCAGGGCTGGACTTCAGCCAGGGTGTCCTGAACAAGGCTTGACCCAGGACAAGCCTACTTCCAGACCTCTCAGGGGTAGGTGGGGCCCCAGCCTTTCAGCTGGGGTGTCTCCCTGCCACGGGAGCAGGCCACATCCCCACAGAGGAAAGCCGTGTTGGGGCACTTCTGCCTCGGTGTCCCAGTGGCACACCAGTCCCTGACCCTGGAGGGACAGTGAGCCCAGTGGCTGCCCCCCACCAACCCCTCCATTCCCAGAACAGCCAAGTCCACGCGGGGGTTTCCATCATTTATTGTGACGGGGACGTTTGAGTAGCAACATAACTGGACGGCAAACACAAGGAGGAGGTCGGAAACAGCGGCGTGCTCCGCTCACCTGCCCATCGCCCACATTCACCAGGAGGACTTGGCGGGCCGAGCGGGAGGGCGGAGGTCACAGGCAGGGCGCCAGGCCCAGGGCGAGGAGGCCGAGGGCCAGCGGCAGTGCCAGGGCGGTGCGGGTGGCACGCGGGGCGGCCTTGCTGGTGCTTCGGCTGTTGCACAGGTTGCCCTGGCAGCACATGGTGGTGGACGAGCCGCTGCTGACCTGGCCCTGCTGGCTTAGGCTGGGCTGGCAGTGGTCCGCACAGTCCTTCTTCACCAGGTTCCCGGACAGCGTCTCCACTGAGGGGCAGGGCCATGGTCAGAGCACTCCGCCAGCCCACGGGGCAACCCTGCCCACCCACTACCCGGGCTGCTTCCCCCAGTCTCCCCTTTGCCACCACAGCCCGCAAGGCAGCCACCCTCAGGACACCCGCACGCCCTCCCTGGCAAGCCTCACCCGTCACGACGGTCCGGCAGTAGCGCGCGCTGGACGGGCAGCTCTGGGCCTCCTTACAGTTGGAGGAGCTTTCACACACGTGGCATTGGAGTGCCCTGGCTGTGGGGAGGGGCGGGGGTCTCAGGAACACAGGGAGCCAGGGCTCATTGCCCAGAAAGATCCCCTCCTGCACTCACGCCTGGACCCCTGGGGCACCTGCTGGGATATCTTTCCTGCCAACACTCTAGGGAGCTCACATCTGCCTGAGGAGCCCCCAGAGTGAGCTTGTGTCCCTAACACCCCATTCTGTGAGGCTGTGTTCATGCCCCACCCACAGGACGCTCCAAGCACTGGGTCCCCGGTGCTGAGGAACTTGGGGTCCAGTGGGAGGGCTGTCGGCTTGCAGCAGGGAGCCCTGGGAAGGAGGGAGGGGGCTGGCTGGAAGGACATGGTGCCAGGGTGTTTCCCTAGGGGCCCCACCCAGTCCCAGCAGCCCAGCTCTGATTGTGAGTGGGGTCTGTGAGTCCCAGAAGGAAGCAGGGTCCCACTGGGTCAGGCCTGGCCTCTCTGGGATTCTGAGAGTCCACGGTTCCCAGGATCTTCTGAGCCTGATGGTCAAAAGCTCCACCCTCCCCCGCTGGGTGGCTCTGGTGGCCCAGCCTGGCTGAGGCCCCCGCCCTCCCTCTGCCCACCCAACCCCCGGGCTGCTCTGGCCAGCCCCTCACCTGGCCCGATGACCACGGCCAGCACAGCAAAGAGCAAGAGGGCCAGCTTCATCATGGGAGTCATCCGGGAGTGGTGGGGCCCCCTCCTCAGAGCTCTTATAGCGGGGCCAGGGGCAGGGCGAGGAGGGGCGGGGTGAGGAGGGGCGGGGCGGGCAGTGCCATTCCCAGGAGTGGTGCTTGCATGAGAGCATTGAGTGCCAGCCAAGGACAGGGACCTGGCCTGCTCTGCCCTGCCCGAGCTGGTGCCAGAGAATCCACCGCTGGGCCTGCCCCGAGGCTCACTTCCCTCCTGTGTCGCCCCGCTGGTCTCTCCTTCACCGTCTTTGTCCCCTCTGCAGCTCTGTGGACTTTGCCCCTGCCCTCAGAGTCCAAGGGCAGGGGCACGAGGAGGGTGCTCTGAGCTCTGGGGAGACCAGGGGAGAGACCAAGGCAGGGCTGTGTGGGTGTGAGGGCACCTCCCGGGGCCTGCCCAGAGCAGGCGTCTGTCTGAGTGCTGGCTGGGATGGGGAGGGGCCTGAGCGATGGGGAGGGCAGGGGCTGTGCTTCCCCAGACCCAGGCTGCACTCAGGCCTTGGGGACGGATTTGTCTTTTCATGGAGAGCACCCGCTCCAGCTCCTGCATGTCTCTGCCCCTGGCCCCAGGCAATGGGCCCTCAGGTGGGCGCAGGGGGGTCCCTCCTGCCCCTGCCCCTGCCCCTGCCCCTGCCCCTGCGGTGACCTGGGCAATCACTCGCTCTCCCCCTCCCCTCCCTCTGAATGGAGATAGGGTTGACTGAGGCTGCATCATGGTCCCCAGGCTGTCCTGGCCAGCGCACCTCAACAGGGGTGGGGCACACTGTGTGGGGGGTGGTATGTCCAGGTCCTGAGGGCTTGCTTAGACTGACACCTGGTCTGACCAGGCAAGGGTCTCCATGCCCTCGCCCCAAAGGAAGCAGGGCTGCAGGGTGGGACTGGGGATCCTGATTCCCGGGCTCGGTGACTGCATGCTGACTGGCCCTGGGGTGGGGGTGGCGGAAGAGGAGAGGTGACTCACTGCGCTGCCCCCCAAAGCTTCTGGAAGAACGGGTTTGGGAGGGGCCGTGGGATTGCCACTGGATTGAGTGGAGCATCAGGGACTGGGGGTATCCGGGCACTGGGACACTTGGAAGCACCCGCTCCCCCACCCCATAGGGCACCTCGGCATGGGCGGAACGTTGACCCCCAGGCAGGCTGCCCCAGCACCCTGAGTGCTGCCATCTCCAGGTGCACCACCTCAGCTGAAGCGGAGCAGCGGTCTCACACCATCCAAGTGGTCTCCACGCCCCTGCAGGGGATGTGGGTGGCCAACACCAGGCAGGAAGGTGTGAACCCCTCCCCACCATGTGCAGGGTGGCTCCGGGGTGCAGGGCTGGGACCCCTCAGAAGCAGCTCTCCAGGCCTCTCCCGGTCGGCCGGCCTCAGGAACAGACACGCCCAGGGGAAATGTGGGGCCCGGGCCCCTGGTCCTTTGTATGAGGTTGGCCCCCTCCCCTGCAGGCAGTGCTCTGACCTCACCTCTGGCTCCCTACTCCCCAGACCTCTCTCCAAGTCAGAACTTGTGCCATCAGATAGGAGGCCCGGGGAGGCCTGCAGGAGCACAGGGAGAGGGGTGCGGCCCCCACCCCCACCCCCACCCCCACCCCCACGCAGCTCCGCTGGGTCTCTGCACTGCCAGTCCGTCCCGGCAGTTGCCACCCAAGGACAAGTTCAGACTGACTCTAGGCCAGAGGTCTCCTTTCGGGGAGCCGGGGGGTGTCCCTGCTTGTTTTCCCTGGCCCCTCCTCCAGGTGTCCGGTCCCTGGAAGGGCTGAGGGGTACAGGGATTAAGGCTGGGGGCCACTGGAACCACAGGGGAGGTCAGGCCCAGGTCCTTCAGGGAGCCTCCCCTGGGCTTAGATTGGGGGCTGAGGTGGGCATGCAAGCCCTGAGAGATATCCCAGGGGACTTTGCGGCCCTCAGGCTGCCGTGGGGTAGGCCGGTCAGAACACAGGACACTCGCCTCTGGCTCAAATAGCCATGTTCCTTCATTGACTCATCTCTCTCTCCCACTCACACTGTCACACACTCACTCACTCACGCTCACTCACACAAGTTCTCCCTCTCCCTCTCCCTCTCCATGTGGCCCAGGTGACCAGACAGACAGACAGACACACGATGAAGAGAGGCAGGTTCTGCCCAGAAGGTTCTGGTCACTGGACCTGGGGATGGAGCTGTGTGGGTGCCAGGTGGAGGGACCTGGGGCTGAGGGTGTACGTAAGGCCTGATGGGCCTGGCTGTGCTTCTGCTGCTGGGGCTGGGTGACTGGGTGTGGGGACAGCTCCGGGGGAGGGCAGGGCTGGTGCTGTCAGGAAGGCAGGTGTCACCGACTGGGATTGAGTAAGCCTGCAGGAGCATGGGTGGTGACTGGGAGGCAGGAGGGGACAGAGAGGGCCTTCCCTGTGTCGCCGGCCACAGCAGGGGTCCTGAGAGTCCACCTTCACCCCCTAACGCCCCCATAGCTGCCCACGTAGGTGGGAGTTGGTGGCACCGCCAATTCTCAGCTCAGTTTCCCTCGGGCACTTGGAGGGCATGTCACAACCCTGTCCCAACCTGAGCAAGGTCAGCCGCCCCAAATTCCAAGCCGCCCAAACTGCCTCATGTGCTTCCCGCCAGCCACATCTGGTCCCTCACCAGGCCCACCTCTGGCTTCCGTCACCCCCTGTCCCCCACTCTGAACATGCAATTACATCACACCCTGCTCGCCACCCCAGAGATGACCCAGGCAACTAGGACTGAGACCACCTCCTGGGGGCCTCACTGCCCCCTCCCCTCCCAGGCTAACTGCTTCTGGGCCTTTGAACGTGCTGGTCCCTGGTCCAGGACACTAGTGCCACCCCTGGGCTGGGCCTCAGCTACCCTCCTCCCAGAGGCCTCTGCCAAGCCTACTGCCGCCACCCATTGCGGTCTGCTGTGCTGGCCAGCCACTGTCTGTCTTGGGTGCCACCAGACAGGGACACTGGGCGCAGTGGACACTGGCCAAGGGTTGGTTTGTGACTGTGGGGGACCCTGGGTGGCCTGGGACTCAGGCGTCCCTGTCTTCTGAGGAGCTGGAAATTCCCAACCCCCTCAGGCTCTCTCACAGGAAGATCCTCTGTCAGCCGCCAGCAGGGCAGACCCCACCCCTACAAGTCCCAGCAGACTCCTGTCAGACCCCGGGGCCAGCCTTACTCAGGTTGCTCCACATCCTGTATCCTGAGCCACTGCACACCTTCGTTCAGACTAGCACCTGTGGGTGTCCTGCGGGGCCTTGGTGGCAGAAGGAGCCAGGGCTTCCAAGAAGTGTGAGCGCCAGAGCACCAGCCGCTCTGCGGAGAAAGACGCGCCTTTCGACTCCGTCAGGAGTTAGGGTCTGGGGAACCCTCGGGGCAGTTCCGCCCTGTCCTGCAGGGCCGCTGTGAGTGGCCATCACTCGGGGGGGGGGGGGGTCTGGGTGTGGTGGTCTTGCAGGGTCGCTGCGGCTCAGAGTGGGGAATCCCCAGCACCCAAAGGGGACCGCCAAGATTCCAAGGCTGGCGGGGGGGAGGGCCAGCCCACCCCTGAGACCTGACTGTACTCTCCAGAAGGTGGTCCCAGGCCAGCCCGCAGGCGCACTTAGGTCCCCGAGGGAATGGATCAGAGTGCCCGCCGAGGTGGGGCGGACTGTTGGCTTCAGCCTCCCTCATCCGGCTTCCTCAGGGTGCAGGTGGGGCTGAAGCTGCCGCCCCCCCACCACCCCTTCCCCTGCAAGCAGGGGGCTCGTTCCTAGGCGCTCAGCCCTCTGCTTCCTTAGCTGCGTCAGGCCCGAGAGTTCCTGGAGGGGCGTGTCCACTTGCAGGGGGGGTGGGGGTCACATGGGGGCAGAGCGCAGGGCATGTAGAGGCGGGGCCATTTGGGAGGAGGATTCGCCAGGGGAGGGGACACACCAGGGGTGGGCAGTGCAGTTGGGGGGTGCGTGAGATTAGTCAGGTGGAGAGATCTGGGTGGCTGGAGCCCCCGTGGAAGTGCCAGGTGGGGTCCTCATGGGAAAAGCTGCGCTCCTGTGTCTGGCGCAGGAGCTCCGTAGGGAACCTCTGTGGGCTGGACGGTGCGGGAACAGCCCAGTGGCCCGTCTCATCGCCAAGTGGCCAAATGGCCGTGGGAGGGGGAAGAAGCCTAGCAGGAGGCTGGCACCCCACATCTGGCCTCTGGGTCCTTGAGCCCTGGGCAGTGGTCGCATGGAAAGGCCAGGACCTGGCAGGACTTGGGAGGAGCCTGCTGAGCCACTTGGAGCAGGTGTGCTTGGGGCGGGGCCCTGAGGGTAGAGTTGAGGGTCTCTGGTCTCACCACCAAGAGAGACCGCTGTCACTGTGACCTCCAGGGGGACCTGCTCTGGGGGACAGCGGGGCACCCTGGAGGGCTGACAAGACCTCACAGAAAGAACATCCGGGCAGCGACAAAGTGGCCTCCCCTGCTGCCCTCCACGGGTTCACCAGGCCCAGTGGGGACTGGAGACTGCCGACTAGAATAGCAACAGAGGAAGTCCACTGCCCCCAAGCAAAGCCCACCCCTGGCACCCCACGGGCACCAGAGGAGAGCTATGCTCCCTCCTCAGGCTTTGAGGACATGTCACCAGACCACCCTTGGGTGGCCCCAGCCAGCAGCTGAGCGGGTGAGGTGTGTGCACTGCCCAGGGTGACGTTCAGAAGCAATTCACTTCCCCTTGCACTTATGTGTGGGCTGCGACCTCTGCCACTTCTGTGGAAAGTGCCCCCACCCACTTGGAATCTTAGGGGACTTCCCACCCACAGGAAGGTGACCGAAAACAAGAGCAGGCCCAGACACAGCCCGATGCAGCAGGCTGCGGACACAGCAGCAGCCACAGCTTTATTCTTCCGCTCCATGGCCTGGTGACAATGGTCTTCCTCGTCCCAACCCTCCATCCACCTCAGGACACCCCACATGGTCCCTGTCTTCCACCCCCTCACCTCCCATTCTTCAACCAGGAGTTGTTTAAAGGGGCAGCCTTCACTCCAGAGCCCCAACGTCCCTCATAGGGTAGGGGTACTGG